GGGGGGGGGGGTGGCACACGCACGGGAGTGGGCGGTGTCTTGGGCAAAGCGTCTGAGTTAGGTTGCATAACAACTCAGACAAAAACAAAAGAAAAATGAGCAAAGGTGAGGGATGGGCCAACAAGTGAACTAAGGACTCATCAGCGGAAGGCGGGGCGTTCTCGCAATGGGCGGTGCTCACCACATAACTCGATTCATTCAAGCGCGGAGGACAAAAAAAGTAAACGGAATGACCAACAAGACATAATGGACGTTAATCTATTGCAGCTCTGTCCACAATGTGTGGGGCGTGCATATAAATGTTAGGTTTTTTTTTCAAACTTTGTTACTCTGTTCGAAAAAGTTCTAAAGTGCAGGAAGAAGAGGCCAGAGGCTACAGAAGAAAGGCGGTCAAATCTTCAAAGTGGACGGGCTTGCACTAAAATGGACGGAGTTAAAATCAAAAATTCACGATTCTGTACAAAGGTGTACCTAACCTCTCAAAATCGTTCTATATACAAAGTCACCACCATTGGTCATACCTATGAAGTTATCATCCCACTTAATATATATGAAGAATTCGTTTCTGTCTTCCGAAATTCGGCAAGACCTGAAAAAGTCGGGTCAACTTTGGGATGGCTGGGACTTCTGGCAAGAACAACAGTGCACTTATGAGTTCAAAGGATTCCCGCTCAGAGACTGGAACATTCACCGATGAGTGGTGCAACAAGAAAAACTTCATAATTTTGCAAAAAGCCCATATGCCGAAAATGATGTGCAAAAGTTAAGGATAGGCCAACAAACCGAACAACAAAAAATTCATACGCGGTGAGCGGAGCGTTCTCGAACCTTTTGCAAATACTCAAGTCACGACAGCCGGTTCTCAGATTCTCGGGAGTGGAGCTCAGATCGGAGAATCATCTGTGTTTGACGCGTTCTTTATTGCGGTGCATGCGTCAGTGTGCGGAGCCCAACCAGTATTGTATTCAAAAGGCAATCATTATTCTCTAAAGTTCTCAAGAAATTGTGCGGTAGCTATCCTATTTGAAGAATAACGGAAAGCAGACTGTACAGTGGGCCTGGTAAAATGACGAGGAACTCGACGTCAAAAGTTTGATGAATGGCACTGCAGTGCTTTCCCTAGTGCGACTTCAGTTTTACAAAACATTGACAAGATTTCTTCTCTCATATTCTTACTCATCCGTAAGATGACCTAGCCGAACTAGCTGAGTGTCGACCTCTTTCAGTTGGATTCAGTAGAGCTAATATCACGGATGAAACCAAAAGCATGCCAACTTATAAGTGTAACATATGCTCAAAAAGTGTAAATAGTCCAGGGGCAGAAGGTTATATTCACGTCATCTGCAGAGATGGACTGGCCAAATACGTGGACCTGTAGGAATGAGAAGAAGAGAGAAGTAGAAAATTTAGTGCTGTCTCGGAGTCACTGAAGGAGTTCTGCAAAAAATCGCAGTATTACACGACAGACAATTCAAGTGTGTCTACTCCTGCTTTCATCCAATTATCTGCCGGTGGTGGATAACGTTACACACCTTCATTTTAGTTCTATCGCAAGATCTGGTGTTTCAGTCACGGGAGCTCAAGAAGCACTGACGGATATGCCGCCCCGGTCCGAAGAAGAACTCGATCCTGTGACGCTTCACAACCAGGCTCTGATCGGTTCGCCGTTTTTTGTGTAACTGTAACTTACGAGTTCTCTGACCCACAAAGCGAAACGAGTTGAGAGAATCGGATAAAAAAACGCTTCGATTCTGAAAGTAATCGAAGAATTTAGGGATAGACACGAACCCAAGCGACGGCTTCGCAAAATTACAGTATCTGCTCACGCAGAACCCATTTCCTCCCGAAACGTTCGCTAATCTACTGTTGCTTTACTGTAAATATGAGGTTGGTGAGTTGTGTAAGAATCGCCTATGAAGTAAGGTCAGCGACGAGCTTGTGCGATGGCCAGAATTTTGTTTGCTTGAACCGTTCGAGAATTATAAAAATTATAACCATCCCGAGCGTAGTTTCGTCACCATTTTCGTTTTTCATTCATTTTTCAGTATTACGATCTAGCAGCTGATGTCTTGGCTGAAAACACCCACCTTACATTCAAATATCTTACTCAGGTATACCATAAATCTCCGTAATTTTGAACTATCAGCCGCTGGCTTTGCAGTATCAATACGATTATTTGGATGCACTCATCAATCTCCAAACATCTCCAGAGGAAGCCTTCGCCAAATTCGATGCAATGGCAAATGAACAAATGAATGAGCTACGAAATCTCACCAAGAGGGTGCAGGTGATTTATTCCATGCATGAATTGTTATTTTTTTGCTTGTGATCTATTTCAATGTTTGTTTTCTCTAGAGATAGTATTTAATATGTTATAGATGGGAAAAAGCCGCTCACTGGATCAAAAAACTTACCTCTAAATTTTGCGATTCTTTCAGGAAATCCGTCAAAGTAATGATGAAACAACAGCTCGAAAGGCGGTTGAGGCGTTTGATGAGACACTAGAGCTGTGAGACCTTCTCGCCATTACCGTTTCTGAACCGCATTCTTTATCTCAGGTATCTGCCGGTGCTGATGTCACAGGCGAAGATCTATTGGGATAGAGGGGACTATGCTCGAGTGGAACGGATTTTTAGGTGTGTTCAGGCCCGTAAAGAATTCTTGGAACTTTCTGCATTCATTACTGAATCATTGCAGGAAGTCAGTCGAATTTTGCAGTGAGCATGACACTTGGAAATTAAACGTAGCTCACACATTGTTTATGCAGGCAAGATAACTTTGCTTTAATTGTTTCTGTGGATATTTTTTCAACGAGTTTTGTCATGACTCATACTTCCTTGATATCTTCTAGGAGCAGAAGTTTAAGGAAGCAGCCGGTTTCTACGAACCAATTGTCAGCAAACACTTTATGACAGTGAGTTCCGGTCATATGTCTTATTTGTATCGGCACGTATTTGTCATTCCTTTGATCACGGGTGAGGTCCCAGTTTTGTTAGAATTTCTATCAAACTCCTAAACTATGAAACTTGAGCAAAACTTCATTGTTAGTGCTGCAAAAAAAATTTCCAAGTATTTGAGAAGTTTCTGGCTACACTTACGATCTCTATTGCACCACAAACCATAACTTATAGGGAATAAGGTGGGAGCCACCCCAGACATTTGAGGATATCAGCATGCCTGCTTTCTATAAGTTCTAGTCTCAGTGACAGGAATAGTAAAGTTTAACAGAGACACTGTTGTGTATCGTTAAATGGTGTGTGAAATTCGACGAAAAATCCGCCATCGCAGCAGTGTATGCAGGACCATTTAAGGACATCCCTCACAATAAATGCGCGCTATATCGAGTGCAGAGGAATAATCATTTAAGGATGTTATCGGAATTGAAAACCGATCAAAAAGAATATATAAAGTCTTGAAGAATGGAAATTTTTCGGCTAGTACCGTTTTTGGAATGTGTCCCACACGTGAATGAATCTCCTGTTCAGAATCGTAGCGGTGTATTTAATGCGTGTGTAGCCGATACATCAGGTTTATAGCCCATAGTGAGCGATATGTAGGTTGAGCGAGGTAGGGATAGGCGAGTGGATAAAGTGTAGGCTCAAGTTCCGACCCTTCCGAAGCAAATCTATGCCCTGCAAAAATTGCAAAAATGCTATCGGTACCAGCGTCAGACCCAGGTTGACAGATTGGCTAAGGATAAATCCGTTCACAGTAAATATGTCTACCCAAAAAGTTTCAGTGATAAAGCCTAGGACGCCACCCAAAAGTGGCGCGCAAGATCTCTGATCAATTTCTATGGGCACTATGCTAGGGCCACCGAGGAGTGAATTATATCGACCAGAGAAGTTAGTTCTTGAGACGCTGAACATGGGATCGTTTCCTGGAAAGTCATGAGTGGCCGCTGATCTGATGAGGCGAAGGAACATTCGAATGCTATTTCTTCAGGACACCCGCTGGAAAGGAGCGAAGGCCAGAGAAATTGGATAGATTGTTGAAAAAAAGCCGCCACACAAAGACTCTGTCTCCGCCATCAATAGGATCAGCAGTCGAGAATAAACACAAAGGAGGGGTGCTGCACAATACAAGTTCTATGTGAGCTTTGACGAGGCCATCCAATCAGTACCGGAGAGGACTATTCATTCTGGCGGGTGATCTTAATGGCCGCGTTAGGAGTAAAGCAAGGAGCTACGGGGGCAAGAGTCAGGAACCAAGAAGGTGAAAGGGTCCTTGATCTAGCCACAGCCCACCTCTTAACAGTATGCAACGCCTTCTTCGCGAAAGGTGAAATCAGAAGTTAAGCCACAGCAGTGGGGGAAAGAAGCCGAAATAGACCAAATACTCGTAAAAAGGTCATCCTCCGAAAGAGAAGGACATAAAAGTACTGCCTGGCGAAGATTCGGCTCAGCACAGGCCTCTTCTACAGACAGCAATCGATCTTCTCAAGAAAACAAGGACAACAACGGAACGGAGTGTCCTGTGGTGGAAGCTCCACTGGGCCGAAAGAGAACACTTCAAGGAGAAGATACTGGAAAACTACACGGAAAAGGGCGTCTTGTATGAGAAACTCGTTGGTCCAGAAGAAGAGAATTTTGACTTATAGCGGTCTAAAGCGCGTCACTGGCCTACTAGGGATATCGCGATGGTGTAGTCCGCTAGCAAAAGCAGGTGTGAAATCCTGAGAATTCCTGGTGAGGTCAGACGTATGGAAGGAATACCTCGACAAGCTTATAAACGAGGAATTCACCAGTAAGGATAGCTCAAAGTCAGAGGCTGCGGCTACCCCTATCAAAGTCTGGACAAAGGATGAGGTGCGTAAAGCAATGGGAAAGATGAAGGTTGGGAAGGCAATCAGTCTGGTTGAGGTACCGATCGAGGCACGGCAGACGCTCGGAGAAACAGGATAAAATGGCTACCGATTCTTTAACACTGTGACCACTGAAGGGAGGTCCCGGATGCGTGGAGGAGCAACACTACTGTTCCCATCTTCAAGCAGGAGGCCGGTGCGAAGGAGTGTCCCAACTGCAGGAAGATCAGAGTGACTGCTCGCACGATGAAACTTTAAGAGAGGTTGGCCGACTCAAGATTGAAAGAACTGGTCGCGATCTCACAGGAGCAGTCCGGCTTCATGCCCGAACGGTCTACACCGGATTCCATCTACATAGCTAGACAGCTTATGGGGAAGTATCGAGCAAGGCATACACCCTGTTACGCAGCCTTTATCGATCTGGAGAAGGCGATCGACCGTCTCCCGCAATGCTCTGTAGAGCGCTTCGAAAATGAAACTTCCCAGAACACATAATCTCTCTGGTCAGAAACATGTTCGACGGTTCCACGAAAACAATACGCACCCCACAAGGCCAAGTCGAAGCTACAAACATGGCGAATAGTGTACACCAGGATCAGCTCTGACAATGAGCGCACTCCTTCTCCTGCTTATAATGAAGGTAATCACAAAGAACTCGTAGGCCACTGAAGATCATCCTCTGCGGTTATGACATCGCTCTGATAGCGGAGAGTAAGGGAGAACTCCAGGACAAACTCCAGAATTTGCAGAGGGTATTGGCGGAGAATGGACTTCAGCTGAACGTGAAGAAGACCAAGTTCCTCAGCTTCGAGGGGGGAAGGAGTCAATTGTCAACGGCCTCGACGAAGCGATCGAGAAGATCCTGGACTTCCGATTTCTGGGGAGTGACTCAGCCTCTGATGGTAGCGTGGAGCAGGCCGTAACAGCCTGAATAAAAGCGAAATGGATGAAGTGGAGAAGTCCAATCTATTCTTTTCAACCTAACCAACCTATCCAACCTTCTTTCGTCCAATCTCTAATTTTTTTGTGAAGCCTTATATTTCTCTCATCACGCCAATTTTCGCGTTTTTATTGCCCATTCAGCACTAATCTGGACACTCATTCTTTTATTCTGATCTATGCCTCAAAGCATCGTAGATTTGTAAAGGAAAAGGTAGCAACTATCACGTACTGATAACAAGCCATAGAAGGCCACTAGGTCCATAACTCTCTTCATACAAACAATGGAGGTTTGGCAGCTTTGTAGGTGGTATGGGATGTGACTTGGTTGTGGGTTATCTGCGACAGGGGCTAATAACAACTTATAAGATGATAAGGGGCCTCAGAGAGCAAGAGCCTGTTCCCAATCGAATCCAAGCGATCCAGCTTTGACTTTTTGATATACAGTAGCGCTCAAAAGTATTCGGCCAAACGCTTTTTCGCTTTTTCGTTTATAACCTTTTTCCAGTGAAGGAGATCACGCGAAAAAATGTTTACCTACAGCATATTTCACACCATCTAACCCTGTTTGTCGGCAAAGCAGCAATATCAACATGACTGAGAGCAGGGTGGTTTTTGCGGTAGCAGAATTCGCTTAAACAAAGTTGGTGACGTCTGCAGTTATCCGCACCTTATATGCGTTATTCTTCTCTACCGTTTTCGGCCTTGGCGCTCGTTCAATTAAGGCATGGCGAAAAGGAAAGAAATCCAAGAAGGACCAATGTCTGTATTTCCAGTTGGTTTTGAGTTCAAGTCCTTTGAGATATCTGGAACACGATCAGATTGCAGGCTAATAGTGGTAAATATTCCCAATACACCCATGCTACACATATTGGAATTTCGCACGATTAGATCCAGTAGCAAAGAAGTTACGACTGAAAAGTGCAACTAAAGAAGCAGTCCGTCAAGTACTTTTGAGCGCTGCTGTATTTTATTTGATAAGGCGGGTGAGCCAGTGAAAGGGATTGATTAAAGGCACTACATTATGAGGTATTCCATCGCTACACAGCAAGGTTTTTGAATTAATAAAGGACTGCTATTTACCTTTGCTTCGATATCATTTGCGACAAAACTTATCCAACTGCCAATAATCTGAGATGTCCAATTAATGATATATGCAAATGATATAGCACATAAAATTTACCATGTAAACTTTTGTGAAAGGACTTTTTTGTCTCTGGACCTGAGGGAGCTCCTAATATGGGAGCGTTGGGTAGGACCGCTCGGGGTAGGCTGATAAAATCTCATGGTCAAAACAGACGCGCCATAAGGGGATAGACTAAGATGGCAAACTGCACCTTTCAAGCACAAGCAACAGGTATAGTATATGAGTCGTTTCTGCATATCCATTTCTCGATAAATGCTCCTCCTATTTCAGCTCTTGGATGTCTCGGCAATCATTCTGGCTAATTTGTGTGTCTGCTACATTATGACTAATCAAAACGAAGAGGTGAATGTTTCCCTCGACATTCACGCACGCACTCAAATCTGCGACAGATTTTCTTTCCATTATTCAATGATCTCTGATGCTAAACAGAGTAGTTCAAGGCCGAGGAACTGATGCGTAAAGTTGAGCGAGAGGAAGATGATGCTAGAGAGCTGGACGATACACGAAAATCTTTCCACGTGTGTATTATCAACTTGGTGATAGGGACACTTTACTGCAGTAAGGTTGGTGAAATAAACTATTATATATGAGCATCGTGCGAATTTCTGCATTATCTATCTAAAACACAAGGGCCATGAGATTAGTCGACTGAAAACATGGTCAGCCTACGTAATTTGAGGGAACTGTGCTGATTATTGGCAACTTAATTACAAAACGATACTATATTTCAATAATCTGATGCTGGAACTTTGATCAGTTTGGCAGATACTGTTAGCTGTTTCCGTGTTCACCAGAGTGACGAGGGTTCTGGCTTTTTTACTACAGAATCTTTTCTTCACGAATGTGACGTCCGTCTTTCCGCCTTACAATTAGCCTTGCAATTTCGGCACAACATTGCGTTTCTCTCCTAAAAGTCCACGTAGCCCTTCTAATGTCTTGTGGTTTCCAGGGAGGTTCAAGTCATCAGGTGTTATTTCTTTTTTGCTTATCCAAGCGATGGTACGTTAGAAGAATCGATATTTTTGTTCATCTATCCACTTTTTGACCAACTTTTTTCCCAATGCTCTTCTGCTATATCAACACAACTTTTCGGTCATCATTTTTTGTTATAATGTGGATTCACTTGAATTTTGTGCGAGATCTTAGCCGGTCAGTGACGAGGCTACGTAGGGCGTCTTCAAGTAGCTGATAGAGGAACTAGTCGCCGACCGAAAATGGCCAGTACTTACCCAGAGATGCAGGTGGTTTCAGGAAAGGGACTACCTGATTCTGCAGTGATGGTCGATTCACATTCTGTTTCTCGCAGGAGTATCCACGTATATGGGTGGAGAGTCTACGGGTGATTTGGTATCCTGCTCATCGACTCAGCCAAAAGCTTTCATTCGAGTGATGGGAAGCATTTGAGAGGCGATTCGGGGCCGCCTCCAAAAACAGAGCCCCTCGTCCACTCGAGGATAGCCTGGTTGCACACGGCGTCAACACAGTCCCCACGTCAGAGCCTGGCAAGCAGTTCGTTGGGTTCCCATTCGCCAAAAACAGTAGTACAAATAAACCCCCTTCTACCGAACGTGAGGAAGAGCCAATTCGGCAGCGTTGGGCAAGACCGCTCAGAGCTGTGAAAATCACAGCGCCACAAAGAAAAAGAGACGAGACCCTGTGCCAGAAAAGGGAAGGACTAAGATTGTGATCCGTACTTTCATTGCATTGGAAGCGCACATAAAAGATCTCATGATGCGAGCTAGGAAGATCAAGTACGACGTCATCGGGTTGACCAAGATGGGACCTTCGCCCGCTGCACGCTGTATTTGAGACTGGGGAAAAACTGTTACTTGGAACATGCGACAGCAGAGGCGTCGGCGGCGTAGGTCTTCTCGTCAACACGCACTTGGCCATGAATATCGATTCATACGAAAGCTTGACAACCCTAATCGGGAGTTTGCAATCAGGCGGTGTGGCTCAATCTCAGCTCTAGCAATCTTCGTTGCTCACGCACCAATATCAAGTTGGAAAGAGGAAGAATTGTTTGCGTTTTATATGGATTTGGACGGGCTCCACAAAGAAGACTATGCTTTCTTCAAGGTCATCTTCGTCTGAACGACAGATTGGCACTAGAAGAATGGGTGAAGAGCTCTACATCAGACTCACGGAATGAAATGGTATGAGCAGTGTGCAAGGCTGTCCTGATTCTTATCATGTAGACCCATACCATTCATGGAACCCTGAGTTCCAGAGGCCATCTCATTCGCGACGGACATGGGAGTCACTTGATGAACAGTTCCATAATGAAATAGACCATATCATATTCAATCGGAGGTTTCGTCTGACCGTCCTGTTATTCCGAAAATCTACACGGAATCGGAAAATCGTCGCTCTGCGCTAGATTCTATTTCTCAGTGCGTGGACAGAGAACCATGAAGTTTAGGAACCGGAGCCCCAAGACCTCTCTCCGCTCTCAAAATGGAACCGCTTCGTCCCCCTTGCGAGTGAATGGAAAGATTCCGGTATCGAAAACATCGACGAAAAATACAACCGGCTCGTCGAACATCTTTACGAAAGTGCTAGAAAATCAGAAAGTGTACACGAATTCAAGAGACCACTCCCTTTGAAGACTCTCGAGCTGAAAGGCTAGCATGGAGTGGCGAGCTGCAGGCAGTCATCAACTAGCGTCCAAACTTGTAAAGCTATGCAGAGAAGCGATAAAGGATGATCAGAAAGAGAGAAGAGCAACAGTTATGGCAACCCGCCGAGATTGGAAAGAGAATTCGCTAATCGCGACGGAGCTTCGCCAATTAAAAGACCAAGATGTCTTGACGGAACAGTTACTGCATATCGAGGGGCAGTGTAGAACATCATCTACGATTTATACTCGGATCTCTTTGACTACTGCCTGCCTGCCCACCATCTCAGGGGCAAAACGAATATATTGCTCCTTTGGTTCTCCCTGCCGAAATACGACATGCTATCACGCCGATCAAGAACTGTACGGCGTACGGTCACGATAGGATCAAACCAGAACATCTAAGGAGTCTTGCTCCAGTTATCGTCAGAACTCTGGCTAGACTCTCAAGGCGGTACCTGTCGGAATGCAAAGCGTCACTCGTGCAAAACTAGAAGGACTGTGTTGCTGTATAAAAAGGAGGATCCAGACGATTGTGGCAATTATCGCCCAATCCGCCTGCTGTCTGTAATCTACAAGCTTTTCACACGCGTCATCCTAAACAGGATCGGCAAAATAGCAGATAAGGATAGCCACGCGAGCCAGGATTGTGGAGAGGTTTGAGTACAGTCGACCATATCTACACCCTTACAAGACTCGTTCAAGTTTAGCAGGAGTACAAAGTGCCGTTATGTCATACCTTCATCGGTTTGAATAAAGCCGTTGACACCGTTCATGCAACCACATCAATATGTAAAGATACTTCCTGAGCTCTACAACAACTTCGAAACCAGAACCCATCCATTCTATAATATAAAGAAGTCATCATCAACAAGAGGAGAGGGGCTCGACTGGGCGATGCCATCGCGCCCAAACTTTTCAATGCCACTCTCAAGAACATCATGCCTTAAATGGAATGGGAAGTCGTGGGAGTTAAGGTCGACGGCTGCTACTTAATATCGAGGGAGTACTGAAGAAGGCAAAGAATATCACGCTCTGCTCTCGCCTTTTCGACACTGCTGTCCTTCCTGCTTTGACGTACGCCTCTGAGACTGGGACTCTAAGGAAGCAGGATCATCATGCTGTCAGCATTACTCAACACCGTTGATTACGCCAAGAAATCGAAGAACAGATGGGCAGGACATGTAATGTGGAATAGTAGTAACCATTGAACAGGGCGATTACTGGCTGGATGCCTCGGAACGTCAATCGAACAAAATAATGGCCGCCAATGAGATGGTCACTCTTCTTCACGAATGCTTCAAACGAAAGGAATGTTCTGGCGCCCGCTCTAAAAAGTCGACTATCAATGGAACGACCAGTGATGCATGTGAATTTGGACAATACTCTACATCGCAAGGAGCGAACGGCTTCGACTGCCAGTAAAAGATGCTGTTCTTGAAAATCTAGCGAACTGGTTTATTAGGGCAGAGTTTTAAGAGCCGCTTACATCTTGCATCCACGTAGGTATGTGACAAAAAACTGCTCTAAGAAGGAGTACGGACTGTAAAAGAAAAATAGTGGAAGGCGTTTTCAGTAGATTTGCAAGCTTTCGAAGCCCGCTCTTGGACAAAAAAGCCTACCTCACTGCTAACTGAAAGCGATGAAAATACGATGACGATTCAGCGGATTAGGTACTCTTATCTCTCTATTTTCTGCTGCACCCGCTTCGTCGTTGTAATCATGAGAGTGAGATAGCTGATCTCAGTAACGTTCATACGGGCTAAGAAGCGGCGATTTAAAAGGAAATATTCCGAGAAATATGGCTGGCGTACTGGCTGTGCTGGCTCTAACTCCACAAAGTCTCTTGCTGATGATTTTTCAAAGAGGCATGGACATTTGAAAACAACATCGATGCTGCAGCGGTTCTTCACCCTAGGGAATCTCCTCCACTTCATCAATTCAGTACCTCACTTTCTAATCCTTCTGTTTCTACGTGAAGGAACTGACCACGCCTTATTTTCACTTACACTTTCCTACTTTCCTTCTTCTACCAGAAGATCTGCAACGACGTCGTTTCGAGTATAAGTAAGCTGACGTGATCTTCCTCTAGAGCTTTACGAGCTTCACACCTATTGTGGTGAGTATGCAGCAACACGACCTTCGTGGGGTTCAAGAGGCAGGCCGGATTGTTCCGAAACATTTAGATTTCGTTTTTTTCTTAATATGCAAACACCCATGTAAGCAAGCACTTCAGACATGTTTCTGATCGTTAAAAGTTCTCGTTGCTCCTCATTTTGTGAACAATCTTTACAATCAAATAAATCCATTCGGTTCTCGTTGGCCTTCTCTAATTTGTGTTCAAATGCGCTCGGGAAGTAATCTCCAGATGAAGATCTCGTAGTGCGCCACGCGCTGTGCAGTAAACGAAGACAAAATAAAAGCGTGTCCAATTTTTTCACGTTCCTTGCGAACTTGACTTACACTTGCTTTCATTATCGAGTCCTTGTAAATAGTGGTGTAGACGGCATACGTATGCACATCATTTAAGGGAAATTTCGAGTTTGGTATTTCTCGCGTGATCAAAGCAATGGAGCCTCAGGAGCGAAAACTCGGTACAGACACATGGTACTACGCAAAACGATGCCTCCTGGCAACAATTGGTGAGGAAAATCTCAAGAACCTGCAAAGTTGATTAACAAATAGAACCCAGCGTACGAAATGAAGTTTGAATCCAGTCACCAATGAATGTAGATCTCAACCGAAAAATCGCGATATAGGGGAATGACCATCTCACGAACTCGATCCGGTCACAGTCTCATTGAGCCTGAGTCAACCACTTAATCGGACAACTTGAACTCATCGTTCATCACTTACCAGTCAGCTCGCCCGGCTGACGCCGGGCTCCCTTCATTCCCGTGTTAAAATGGCCTCCCGCCTGTGAGTTTTTCAAATTTAGAGAAAATTTAATTTTTTGCACAAACCCCGTCCCATGTGGGTGGAGTCCGGTCTTGCGAACCACCATAAGTGTTTCTATTCCGCCGCCTGCACATCAATCAAATTTGAGCGCTCTAGGTCCACGGGAACATGAGCTATGAATTTCCACTCAAACCTCGCCAACTGGCCCACTGTGGGCGGAGTCTGGTCCTTCAGCCCAACATAATTGTTCCCATGATGTCGCCTGCACTCCTACCAAATTTGAACGCTCTAGGTCCGAATCTAAGTTCTTCACGCTTTCTCCGTACCTTATGGGCGAGTATGGTCCTACCACCACCATGAGCATTCACATCCTGGCGCTTGTTGGAGCTGTTCGCAATCACAAATCGCATTTTATATTATACATGCTACTTCTCCACAGCCATCGTGATATGGGCCACCTGACCTAAGAGTGAACAAGATGTGCAAAGTTAAATTTAAATTTCGACACGGCAGATCATAGACACTTACTGTCACTTTACTAGGAAGTCTTCATATTTCAAATCATAAAACGATTACATCGCCATCACATGTCATTAATGAAAGAGCCATACAATATGAATTACGTGAAGATTTTTCTGCCTCATGTAAATGATCGTAAGCGATAGCCTGGAACAAGGCACTTGCTTCTTCTTCATCTTATCCCTAGCATTAATGCCGCGCCATTGCAGGGTCCGCTGTTCTTGTCAGCCGTCTCCATTTCATTCTATCTACGGCATCTTCTGCCGTTATTTTCGCTTCGGCGAGGTCCTTCTTGATCACATGCCGCTATCTCTTCTTTGGGGCTCCTCGTGGTTGCTTACCTTGAGCCTCGGACTTTATTGCTTGCCTTATCGCATGGTTCTGTGGTCTTCTTAGTACATGCCCTAACCATCGCATGCTCTCTCATCTTCAGTTGAATTGGGGCTGTTTGCAAAGCCGGCTTGATGTCTTCATTTCTGACCCGGTCGAGCCGCGTCCGCCGCAGGCCCATCTGAGCATTATCATTTTAGCGGAGTGGAGCTGTCCTCCATGGGTTTTACTCACGAGCCAACATTCGCTGCCGTAGAGCAAAGTGGGCCCTTACCACACACCTTTCCTTTGAGGGTCCTGGAGCACCGACGATCGCAGAGGATACGGGTGGACTCTCTCCACTTTATCCATGCCGCATTTACTGGCGATTTTACGGCCTAGTCCACGGTATCATCAGCGGCTAGATTACTCTCCAGGTAGCGGAAGTCCTGGACCTTTTCGATGGCTTCCAGGTGATTGACTCCGTTTCATTCTCGGAGCTGGAAACTTGGTCTTCTTAACGATCAGCCGGAGTCCATTCTCCGCCAGCACTTTGTGCCACTTCCGGAGCTTGTCCTGAAGTTCTTCCTTGCTTTCCGCTATCAGAGCGATGTCGTCAGCGTAGTCAGTGGTCCATCCATGAGTTCATCTGTGATGACGTCCATCGTGAGCAGGAAGAGCTGATCCCTGGTGTACCCCAACCGTGACATCTATTGCTCCGGTTTGGCATGTGGGTTGCGTATTGTTGTCGTGAAGCCATCTTGACCAGACGAGATGGGGTGTTCTAGCACGTTTTGTTTTCGGAGCGCTCTCCATAGGACTTCTCGCGGAAGACGGTCGAACAGCTTTTCCAGATCGACTAAGGTTAGGTAGCAGGGTTTATGCTCTGCTCGATAATTCTCCATAACTTGTCTGGCTATGAAGAGGGCATCCGTTGTAGACCTTACAGGCATGAAGCCGAACTGCTCCTGTGAGATCGGAACCAATTCTTTCAATCTTGAGTCGACCAGCCGGTACAGTTTCATCGTGTGAGCAGTGAACATGATCCCCCGAAAGTTGGAACATTCCATGCGTCCCTTTGTCGCTTGAAGATGGGAACGGTTGTACTCCTGCTCCACGCATCTGGTATCCTTCCTTTAGCTGTGACAGTGTTCAGGAATCGGGTGAGCCACTATATTCCGTGCTCTCCGAGTGCCTTCCATGCCTCGTTTGGTACTCCATCCAGACCAGTTGCCTTCCCAACCTTCATCTTTCCCATTGCTCTACGCACCTCATTCTCTGTCCAGAGATTGATGGGTTCAGCCATTGCCTCTAATTGGGAGCTGTTCTTATGGACGAATTCTTCGTTAAGGAGCCCGTTGATGTATTCCTCCACCTACGCCTGACCTCCCCGGGCTTCTTCAGGATTGCAACCTTGCTGTTCCTGACGGACTTCACCACCCCGACGTCCTGAGTGGTGCGGTGATGCTCTTCCGTTAGGCGGAAGACTAACTTCTCTCCTACTCGACTGTCGAGTTTCTCATACAGGGCGTCTATTTCCGTGTTCTTCGCCTTCGCGAAAGCAACCTTGGCGAGTCTCTTGGAAATTCTTTAGGCAGCTAGGTCTTCTGGAGCTCGTGTCTTTTGCCAGCGCTTGTAGGCCGATTCCTTCTGCCTCAGAACTCGCTGGACTTCATCATTCCAAAACCATGCCTCCTTGTCCCCTCGGAAAACACCTCGAGTTTCTTCCAGCGTTTCCTTTGCACATCGCAGTATGACCTTCACAGCGTTGCTCCAGGCCTACTGGACAGGCCCTTCGAGATTTGAAGGTTTAGCTTCTTGTACCTTCTCTTCGAGGTGTTCTCTTTTGGGTTGGTGCAACTTCCACCACCGGATCCTCCGTTCCGTTATTGTCCTTGATTTCTTAGGAAGATCGATGGCTATGTCTGCTAGAAGAAGTCTGTGCTGTGGAGCCAGATCTTGTCCTAGCAGTACCTTGATGTCCTTTGCAGTTTTGAGGGTCGATCTTATTAGCACATGATCTATTTCCGTTTCTTTTTCTCCACTGCTACAGGTTACCTTCTAAGACTTCCTTTTGGCGGAGAAGGCGCTGCTAACTGCCAAGTCGTGGGCTACGGCCAGGGCAAGGAATCTCTCTCCTTCTTCGTTTCTGACTCCCAATCCTCTACCCCCATGTATCCTTACCAGTCCCCTCCTTTCACTGCCGACATGCCCATTCAGATCACGTGCTATGGTGAGATAGTCCCCCTCTGGAACTGATCGGATTGCCTCGTCAAAGCTCAAATAGAATTGTTCCTTTCCGTAGACGGGGCTGCCGGCTGAGGTGCGTATACTGATATTATTGTCCAGTCCCCCTCCTTCGTGCCTATCCTCTCAGCCATGATTCCGACTGCTGATCCTGTTGACGGCGGAAACAGAGTCTGTCACGGACCCTCCGCCCATTAGTTTGGTGTTTTCTCCGTTGTAGAAGAGCTTGACACCCTCTTCGGTTTCTCTGGCCTTTGATCCTTTCCAGCCTATTTCCTGAAGATATAGGACTCGGAAGTTGCTGCGCTTCATCAGAGCAGCGATCTCACGGGACTTTCAAGTAAGCGATCCCATGTTCAGAGACCCAATTCGAACTGCCTTCTTTGGCCGAGATCGTTCACTCCTCGGTAGCTCTCGCATACTGTCCACAGGACTCGGGCGAGGGTTCCGTGCGCCACTTCCGGTGACGTCTTAGCTTTATCACTGATACTCTTTGAGACTATAGACATATTTGTTGTGACTGGTTTCTCCATCAAGCGGCCTGTCAACCTGGGCCTGACGCTGGAATCGATACCATTTTTGCAATTTTCGCAAGGCATGAGTTGTCTCGGCAGGGACAGAGCTCGCACTCCCTCTGAGTGCAGGGGTGAGCCTGCACTCTTATCCACTCGGCTATCCCTGCCTAAGATGCTTGCTAAAATGAATATTAGAGAGGCTACAGAAAAGTTATAAAAGCTTTCATTAGTACGCTGTGCAAAACTCCCGCTGCGACGGGAAGCAAGCCCATATACCTTTATCCCAATCGAGGGGACCACATAATGCTCCACTAAGGCGGTCGGTTAATGCGAACAACAACGCACTTATTGAAGCTATCTCTACGGAAAATTCAGAGCTGCAACGCACTTATTGAAGCTATCTCTATGAAAAATTCAGAGCTCCTAACTTTTTTGGAAACTTATTTAACAGTTTCACGTTCTAGTTTTGTAAACAGCATTCGAAACACATTAATGAACGGAGTCTCCATTCAAAGCTCACTGCGAATTCGAAATTCATAATTGGTGAACTTCAAATTCAATTATCTGTTGAAGGCATCTACAGTAGCGCTCAAAAATCTTCGGTGCAATGCTTCGACGCTTTTTCGTCCATAACTTTTTTCTCAATAGACCAAATCGCGCAAAATTTGGATATGTTTAACTAGAGCATATTTCACCCTACACAACACTATTTGACTAGAAAGCTGCAATATCCACAGATAGAGCAAGGGGTTTGTTTCGGAAGCAGATTCTGCTCAAAGTAAAGTTATTGACGCCTTCAGTTATTCGCACCTTATGTGCGTTATTCTTCTCTACTGTGTTCGGCGTTACAGCTCGTACACTTTAGACATGTCAATAAGGAGAGAGATTCTAGAAGGACCATCGTCTGTATTTTCAGTCGATTTTGAGTTCATGCTCTTTGGAATATCTGGAACATGAACAGATTGAGTCTTAATAGTGGTAAATATTCACAATACACCCGTGCTCCAAAAATAGAAATTTCGAATGATTAGATCCAGTAGGAAAGGAATTACGACTGAAAAGTACGGCTGAAGAACCATTTCACCGAAGCCTTTTGAGCGCTACTGTATATAATACAGGCGGAGAGGAAAAGAACGGAGGCAGGCGGAGCCGGATTCAAAATTGTACATTTTCAATCAAAGGTTTTTGGAGCTCTTCTGAATGTATATACAAATCGCAGAAAGAAGAAAAACCGCTGTTCTTGTCCGTTTGTAACGGACGCATCTCTTCACACCTGGAATGTGTGAAGCATTAGCTGGAAATTTGCAAGATCAAATCGAGACCTGCAAACAGTTAGGAAAGAATTATAAGAGTCAGCAAAGGAAGGGAAGTCGCAGTGTCAACGTGCACAGAAAGATGGATGTCTGCAGCAAAATAGGTAAATATCAGCCGTATCATATGTCTTCCATTAATCATCGATTTTCGCCAGTATCCTTCGCACTCGTTCCTGTTCCAAACCAAAGTAGCCCTCTGTATCGC